GTAAAATCACTGCAAGGTGCATGGACACTTTTCAAAGACACCATAATAGAGGCCCAACTTAAAGGTATACGCCAAATTAAAAAACATAGTAGAAGAAATAAAAAAGAGCCATCATGGCTTGGCTTAACCATGTAAAAGAAGCAGTGAGAGATAAAAAGACATCTTTTTGAAAGTGGAAGTCAAATCCTAGTGAGGTAAATAGAAACACTCCCAAATTAAGTGTAAAAATGTAATAAGAAAAGCCAAAAAGGCGTTTGAAGAACAGCTAGCCAAAAACTCAAAATGTAATAAGAAAATGTTTAAGTACATCAGAAGCAGGAAGCCCGCTAAACAACCAGTTGGGCCCTGCACAATCGAAATACAAAAGGAGCACTTAAAGACTATAAAGTCATTGCAGAGGAACTAAATGAATTCTTTGTTTCAGTCTTCACGGCTGAGGATGTTAGGAAGATTCCCAAACTTGACCCGTCCTTTGTAGGTGATCAGAGCAACTAAATGATTTATTTGCTTCAGTCTTCATGGCTGAGGATGTTAAGGAGACTCCCAAACCTGACCCTTCCTTTCTGGGTAACAAATCTGAGGACTTGTCACAGGTTGAAGTGTCATTAGAGGAGGTTTTGGAATTCATTGATAAACTTAACAGTAATAAGTCACTGGGACCAGAAGTAATTCACCCAAGAGTTCTGAAAGAACTCAAATGTGACATTGCAGAACTATTCACTCTGGTTTGTAACCTATCCTTTAAAACAGCTTCTGTACCCAGTTAATGGAAGATAGCTAATGTAACGCCAATATTTAAAAAGGGCTCTAGAGGCGACCCTGGCAATTACGGACCGGTAAGTCTTACATCAGTACCGGCAAATTAGTTGAAATGTTAGTAAAGAATAAAATTGTCAGACACGTGGAAGAATATAATTTGTTGGGCAAAAGTCAACATGGTTTCTGTAAAGGGAAATCATGTCTTCCTGTTTTTGTAGGGGTCAACAAATGTGGATAAGGGGAATCCAGTAGAAATAGTGTACTTAGATTTCCAGAAAGCCGTTGACAATGTCCCTCACCAAAGGCTCTTATGTACATTAAGTTGTCACGGGATAAGAGAGAAGATCCTTTCATGGACTGAGAACTGGTTAAAAAACAGGATACAAAGGGTAGGAATAAATGGTAAATTTTCAGAATGGAGAGGGGTAACTAGTGGTGTTCCCCAAGGGTCAGTCCTAGGACCAGTCCTATTCAACTGATTCATAAATCATCTGGAGAAAGGGGTAAACAGTGAGATGACAAAGTTTGCAGATGATACTAAACTGCTGAAGGAAGTCAAGACCAAAGACGACTGTGAAGAACTTCTAAAAGATCTCCCCAAACTAAGTGACTGGGCAACAAAATGGCAAATTAAATGTAATGTGGATAAATGTAAAGTAATGCACATTGGAAAAAATAACCCCAACTACACATATAATATGATAGGGGCTAATTAGCTACAACTAATCAGTAAAGAGATTTTGGAGTCATTGTGGATAGTTCTCTGAAGACGTCCACGCAGTGTCCAGCGGCAGTCAAAAAAGCAACCAGGATATTAGGCATCATTAAAAAAGGGATAGAGAATAAGATGGAGAATATCTTATTATCCTTATATAAATCCATGGTACGCCCACATCTTGAATACTGCATACAGGTGTGGTCTCCTCATCTCAAAAAAGATATACAGAGAAGGGCAACTAAAATGATTATGGGCTTGGAATTGGTCCCATATGAGAAGAGATTAAAGAGACTGGGACTTTTCAGTTTAGAAAAGAGGAGACTGAGGGAGGATATGATAGAGGTCTATAAAATCACGAGTGATGTAGAGAAAGTGAATAAGGAAAAGTTATTTACTTGTTCTCATAATAAAAGAACTAGGAGCCACCAAATGAAACTAATGGGCAGCAGGTTTAAAACAAATAAAAAGAAGTTATTCACACAGCACATAATCAATCTGTGGAACTCCTTGCCTGAGGAGGTTGTGAAGGCTAGGAGTATAACAGGGTTTAAAAGAGAACTAGATAACCTCCATGAATTTACATCCATAAATGGCTATTAGCCAGTATAGGTAAGGAATGGTGTCCCTAGCCTCTTTTTTTCAGAGGGTGGAGGTGGATGGCATGAGAAAGATGGCTTGATCATTACCTCTTCGATTCACTCCCTCTGGGACACCTGGTATTGGCCCCTGTTGGCAGATAGGGTACTGGGCTGGATGGACCTTTGATCTGACCGAGTATGGCCATTCTTATTTTGCAGAGGTTTTGATTATTTTTTTCTCATAATCGAGCTTCTCCTCCTATCTGAGACTATAATGAAGTTATAATTTGTCTCTTATAATACTATTTTTTTTCCTCATGGAAATTGTGATGTCACACCTTCATAATTATGATTTCCCTGCAGGGTCATGTAATAGAAACAGATGGTTTCTAAAGGGGACTAACTTTGTTTTTATACACGTGGTCTGTAAAGTGAGTTAAAATATCAAAAAGGTTGTTCTGAATGAAGTTAGTTTTAATTTCCCTAAAGCATTTGGAATTGCTTAACAAAATATTAAGGACTGCTTTATTCTCATTGGAACAAAATGATCTGTTTGTTGACATTTTGTGTACTGTACTACTTATCCCAGTATGGCCATTTCCTGTGAATTCCCCCCCGAAAGACTTCCAACTATGTGTATTATTGTAATAGAACAATACTGTGAAATTATATAAGAAAGAATATTAATGTAAATGTCACTCACTAATGGACATGGGGAAAAATAAAATGTTTCGAAGTTCAGCAGAAAACAGATCTTAAAACAAGAACATTTTTGGAAGGAATTTAAGTCCCAAACTGAGACTTTTGGAACCAGTTTTGTGAGCAAACGTACTGAATCTAAATGACATTCCAACAATATTTGGCTGTGTGTAAAGAGGAGTGGATTGCCCCCTCAGGCACGAACCTTCCAGAATGTATCTATGGCAAAAATGTAGAGGAGTGGAAGTTATACTTATTTTTTTCCAGTGGTTGTTCTTGCAGCTGATGGGGAAGGATACTAGAAGACTGACTGGTAGGAAGGACCTGGGAAGATGGCAGAATCTTGATCTGCTGCCAGATCTCTGGAACTAATGTATACAAGATGACAACCAACACCATCTGCTAGACTGGGCAAAATTTGGGGGTGGGAAGGATATTTGATTTGTTTTCAAAATATACAGTGGTTGAAGAACAGAGGGATGTGGTCCAAATTAGGTTGAGCCAAGTATTATGTTGCACCTGAGGAAATTTTTGGCAGATAGAATAATTGGGCTTTGAAAAGTAAGCTTTGAAAAATTAAGGCTTTGAAAAATAAGGCTTCTAACATCAATGACTGAGCAGTCAGAACTAGAACTGTATAGAGAGCTTTTTCAAAACCCAGAGAGCATGGGGTGGAGATGTCAAAGCTTTATTGACCAGATAGCAATCAATATGATCAGGGAGGAACTTCCACAGAATACCTGGGGAATTGCTGAACACCAGAAGCTGAAATGCAAAAGAGAGCTGCTGTGGTTGAATGCTGCTACATTACAAGACATGGAGCCACAAAGATCCATTTAGCATCTGAGAAGCATTCTACTGCCCTGGAGCTGGCTTCTCAGGAATAGTCTATATTGTATCTGGGAAGGAGCCTCCTAGCCTTGGTCCATAGAGTTGTGACAGAGGGGTTTGTGTTAGGGATATAAAATACCGTTTAACTGGGTAAACGGTGAAACATATTGTTTAATCAGTTAAAGGGGGGTTATGTGTAGGTTGGCCTGGCCAGAGCAGCTTCCATCTGTAGGGTTACTCAGGTCCTCTGTGGACACAGGTTGCTCTGGATGCCAGAGCACTCCTTGCCTGCACTGGGCCCTGCACAGCTGGAACAGCCCTCTGCCTGTTTTTTGGCAGCTCCTGTACTCATTTTTGTACTCCTCCATGGGTATAGCCAGAGCTCTGCCACACTGGGTCTTTTTAATAGTTACATAACCACAGTTAGATTATAATTATGTAACACTAAAACCAAACCAACGTGCAGTTACTAACAAAGGAAATAGTAGCTCTCAAATGATATTTATAATACATTGAGAAATAGTACAGCATACTCCCATTTATCTGAAACCCTATTATTTGAATATTTGCATTAGTTGCAGAGGGCATGTATCTCATGCTGAAAGGCAGGAAATGGGTTCGGATAATGCAAAGAATATATCCACACTACAACAGACCGTTGACTTAAGCTACGCAACTCCAGCTAAGTGAATAATGGAGTTGACTTAACTTGATTTACTGTGGGCTTTATACTGCAGGGGGGTTGATGGGAGAAATTATTCTGTTGACTTCCCTTATTTTTCATCTCTGAGGGAGAGCTACGGAGTCGATGGAAGAGTGATCTGCAGTCAATTTGGCGGGTTTTAACTAGACCTATTAAATCTACCACTAGTGGATCAATTTCAGAGCATCAGTCTCAGTTGTTGTGTTGCTGTAATTCAGATCAGAAGGGAGATCCTCCTGGCCAGGACTGCAAAGTGGTAGAAGATAATGAACTCGCAGCTGAGGCAGGCCCTGAATGGCTCCTTTGGCAATACAGGAAGCCCTCAGCAGTCCTGACATCATGGGAAAGACTGGACAAGGCTGTAGCAGCCGAGCTACAGAGGGCTCTCTGCTCTAGCAAGGATTGGTTGTCTGCAGTCTGATGCCAGCGCAGGGAACCCTCTGCAGCTCAATTTAAGGGAGTGAGATAGTGGAACAGAGTGGATACCCAGACCAGAACATTGATGCATTTTAAAAGGAAGTACATGGGTGCATGTCTCTATATTAAAAGTAAAAAAGTACATATCCTAGATGAAATACTTATCTGACTGATTACTAAAAATATTACAATTACTTGCAATCTTAAGTCTCTTTAGCAATCCCAGGAATTATTATAATTTAAAAAAAATGTAGTACTTATAAAATGCCGAAGACATTTTTTACTTTTCTCTAAGGGTCTTCTGACAACTGGAGTAGAATTTGAATCTCTCCCAGCTGCTCTTTCTCTACCTGCTGAATCTGGCCTCTATCCGGTGACCCTTGTTGGTGTTCCTCAGACTACTGGGCAGATCACTATCAATGGTAAGGGTGATCATTTCTATCATTTACAGTTCTTATCAGGAAAATAGGTACAAGTATCTTAAAGCATTGTGGATTGATATGATGTAGTTAAATTAATATTTATTTTATATGTTTAATATTTATTGGGGCATTTCAGGTTGGAAAAGAGACAACTGGGGGGATATGATAGTCTATAAAATCATGACTGGTGTGGAGAGAGTAAAAAAGGAGAAGTTATTTACTGGTTTTCATAACACAAGAAGTAAGGGTCACCAAGTGAAATTAATACATAGCAGGTTTAAAACAAAAGTATTTCTTCACACAGCATACAGTCAATCTGTGGAACTCTCTTCAAGAAGATGTTGTGAAGGCTGAGACTTTTAACAGGGTTAAAAAAAAACTAGATAAATTCATGGGGAATAGGTCCATCAATAGCTATTGGCCAGGAGGCACAGGAATTGTGTCCCTAGCCTCTGTCAGACGCTGAGAATGAGTGACAGGGAAGGAATCACTTGATGATTATCTGTATTGTTCATTTCCTCTGGAGAACCTGGCATTGGCCACAGCAGGAAGCTGAGATACTGGGCTATCTGACCCACTATATCTGTTCTTATGTTTATTTTATATTTACAATATTGAATGTTCTATAAAGCCAGTATTTTTAAAAAATATTACAAAGTAAGCCTTCATCAAGAGGATGGTATACACAGAATGAGAAAATAACCTATGATTCTCAGAAATACATAATTTTTATTTAGGTGTGTGAGATCATTTCTGTTGCTACTACAGTAAACTTCCGATAATATGGCACCTTTAGGACCCAGGGGGTGCTGGATTATCAGATATGCTGGACTATCAGAAGGGGGGGGGCTATGAGGAGTCTGGGGTGCGGTGGGGGGGTTGGCACCCCAGACTCCTCATAGGCCCCCCCTTCCAATAGTCTGGCATATCTGATAATCCGGCACCCCCTGGGTCCTAAAGGTGC